CCCCTGTTTGTAACTCTGGTCCTCAGTTTCCCTGTTGCACAATGAGCTGCGTGGCCCAGGCCTTCTGTCCCTGAGGGTGCACTCTCCCCCTCAATGCCAACTGGTTTTCCTGTTCACTGGTCCAGTGGCTCAGGACTTTCTCTGGCTCTTACCACCAAGGGGTCATCCCAGGAGGTCAAAGATGAGGAAATTAAAATGCAAGGAAGGAACTTGAGGGGATCTAATTGTTTCCCTACATACACTGTCTATTCTAGAGAGTCTCCCTCAGCAACTCAGCAAGGGAAGTCCTAACAGTACACAAACAGCTCCCACTTCTGAAGGCCAAGCTAGCAAACTTGAAAAGGGAACGTGATTACTTACTGGCTCCAGCTACCTTGACTGAGTCCCTAATGTGAGCTGGCACCACACCGGGTACATTCTGGATATTTATTTCACTATGATATCTGGATATCATTATGCCCAGTTTTACAGATGAGGAAACCAAAGGAGAGAGAGATGAGGTGACTTGATTCAAATCACACAGCAAGTGATAAGTAACAGACATGCCAAACACAGCCTATTTGATGATTTAACAAGAAAATAAAAACTGATCTGCTAGGTTAAACCTAGGGTTCCAGGTGAGACTTATACCTATTTTTCAGCCTCTGGAGGTGTGTGGCCAGTACACAGAGAGGCAGAAAGGAATGGAAATGTTCCATAGCAGGACTAAAGAAGAGGACATGAGTCATTTTTTCTCTCTTCAAAAATACTGCTGAAGAGGAAACAGGCACTTGGGATGTGAGTTCACATCTGGGCTCTAGCTACCCGACCCATGGGACTTTGGAGTAAGTCACTTCACTCTCTGAGACTCCATTTCCTCACTTGTAAAATGGAGGCGATGGTGCCCATCTTTCAAGGGTGTTTGTGAAGGTGAAACTCCTAGGCATAGGGCAAGCACCTAGCACACTGCTGGTGTTGAAGGCACCCAAAAAGAGCTGGTTTCAATCCTGCCTTCAAATGTCCTCAAGTCTGTAGTGCCAAGGCTGAGATCTTCAGAAAATCATGTCCAATAATAAGAATGAAGTTTATTGAGTGCTTGTTATGCACCAAATCCAGGTCTGGGCACTTTCCACATGTGAGCCCATGTGACAAGATAGGTACTTGTGCTACCTTCACTTTGCAGTTAAGGAAGCTGGAGCCCAGAGGAGTCAACTAGCTTGCCCAAGGTCACACAATCAGTTAGGAGCAGAAGTGGATTCTCACTTCAGTAACCTGACTACTAAAACTGGCTTCTAACCACTGCACACTCTAGAGCCCAGGTGTGACTAGGAATGTTGGGGGGGAGCGTGCTAATACATGGACTCTTTAGAACCTGGCCTTCCCTGTTACAGTGATTCCAAAGTTGGGAAAACACAGGTACTCTTTTGGGGTTTTGGGTGACAGGAAACAAGGGCTGCAGAAGAGAGGAAATCAAAAGACTCCTCTGAGTGGCCAGCAAACTCAACAGTCCAACATTTCAAACAAAAGAAAAAAGTGTGGGAAGTGAAGGTTCTGGATGGGATTCAGGTAAATCCCTTTCTTCTTCTGAGCAGGGATTCTGGGCCACTAAAGGCTGGGGGTGGAAGGAGGGCAGCAATTGTGGGGTCCACATTTCACTTATCTAACAGGTCAGGAGAAACTTTAACAAGATTAACTGCTGCTCAGGGCCTCTGCTCCATAGAGCAAATTGAATCTATTGTTTTCTTTTTCTTCTTCTTTCTCTTTTTTACACACTGGAGGGCTGGGGGAGGGTGGGCACTGTTGGGGATGAGGGGCAGGGGTCTGGATCCTGCCTGGTATGGTATGAAAGCAAAGGGTTGTGTCAGAAAGCTCCCCCTACCCCCGGACTTGAAAGGGAGCCCAAACTGCCGTGCCAGTAAGCTGAAGGCCGTCCTGGGTGGTGGGTCCGTGAGGGGTGAGAGGTGATGGCATTTATTAGAAGCCTTCTCCTAATGGTGAAGGGGGGTAAGACCTGGCAGTCAGGATGCCCTGATTAAATCCTCCTCCTGCCATAGAGGAGCTGTGTCATCAGCCACCCCCTGCCCAATCTGTCCTCCCTATTCGGCCACAGAGAGCACTGGACTGGGTAACCTCTGAGGAGCCTTTTTACAGTAGCCTTAAAGGAACCACCCATCACTGGGGGGACCTCCAGAGAATCCTGCACACCAGTACTTTCTAACTTTGGCTTTGTTTTTGCCTGCATATGGCTTTCCTTTTATTTATTAATGTAGATCTATGTGGACACATTTATTTATTTTTTTCTTCTTCCCTTTTGGAAAAATAAAAGGCATGCTTTCTGAGGTTCAGAAGCAAACGGCTCCTTCACTCCTTCCCTCTGCCTCTCCGAGTGCCTGTCTGAACTGGTGTCAGTGAAGTTTGAACCGGGGCAGAAATAGCATCCCGGGCAGATCTGGGAGCACAGCCCGCCTACCAGGAGCGGCAAGGCCTGCCTCTGCCAGACGACAGACCCGGTTAACAGCACCGTAAAATTAGACCTTTACGAAACCCAGTTGAATCCTGCAGCAAAGAGTGCTGTAAGGCAGCCTGGCCTGACAGCAAGGCAGCAACCCTCTGCCTGAAATAGCATCGCTGTCCCTGCTGAGATGCGCCTGCTCTCTCCAGATAGGTGACCAGGGATTCCTAGGAAAGTGGCAACGCCCAGCCAGAGGGAGCCGGCGGAGGTCAGGCAGCAAACTGGGCACCCGAGGTCACAGCCAGAGGACGTGGCTTGGCATCAGCATCCCAGCTGCCCACCTCGGCTCTGCCTCTCCCAGCCCGAACTTACGCAAAGAAAGGAGCCGAAAAAGTGCTTCTGCAAAGAACCTCTGTTTGTTTGCCTTTTAATTCAAGGAGAAGCAGGTTCTTTTTAGTCCAACAGTCTGTACCGTGTGGAGGATACGCAGAATGAGTCTTTTCTGGCTCAGGGCCAGGTGTTTACACACCGCCAAATCTGGCTCAGACTCAACTAGGGGAGGGAAAAAAATCCACCAGAATCCTCGGGAGAAAAGCTCCTGGCGTTCTGGCGCTACACGACAGCAGTGCCTTTTTTTTTTCTTTCTTTCTTTTCGTTTTGAGAGGAATGTTATTTCCACACATAAAATGGACCAGGCATTTTATACAAGCAATAATAACCTAACATCCCCCAACCAATTAAAGTATTTTACTGCACAATCGTTGTGTGAGAGAGTGAATGAGTGCTCAGGAGAATGTGTGTGAAGAGAGGTTCCTTGTCTGAATTACAGACATTTATAAAGCAGGCTCCTGTGGAATCCCAGGTGTTATATATATATATATAATTTATATATATAATATATATATATATTTTTTTAAATGCATTTTGCTACCTTTTCATTGATGATACCTATATAACCCCTGGGGCTCTTCCTGCTGGAGGGGAAGCCTTCCAAATCACTGGTATCACAGGTAAACACTAAGAAAAATCAAATCTACGTATTTAAAAAAAATCATCCCCGAGCAGCAGGCTCTGTGCTTTCCCTAGGTTCGGAAACAGAAGTAAATACCCTGCAACCCCGAGTTACCACCCCTCATCATCATTACTATGAATAACATCTCTCCTCTACTCTGTTTCATACCCCGCTCTGGGCCACCAGGGCTGGGGGGCTAAAAGTGAATGGGCTCAGTTTCCCTCTCGTTCCTGGGGGACAAAAAGAGAAAAAACGTGATGACGTCAGATGTGAGGGAAAGTCACTTTCTGGCTCTTGGATTGGGAGCTGGAGCGTGAGACTTTAAGGACATATTCTTGCTATAGCAGCAGAGTTTGGGTCCCCCAAAATCGACTTCATGTAAATAGGATAGAGTCAGCGCAACCTTTGAGAAAGTCTCTGGCAAGATAGCAAGGGGCAGAACTGCCGGAGGAGCTCACAGCTTTCCCTTCTAAGAAAGTGTGTAAGGGGGTGGGATCGAGAAACGCCTCCACACGTTTCCTGGCCGCAGCGAAGGGGGAACCCCTACTCTCACTTTAAGACGTCCCAGGCCACGGCGAGATTGTTGGTGCAGGAAGGGGATCTCCCGGCCAGAAGAGACAAAACTTCCCTTCGCTCCTCCAGCGTCTCCCCCCTCCACACCCCCTCCCCAGTTTTATGAAAGGCATTGTCACAAATTCATTTAGAGGGGGAAAAATGGATGCTGGAGCATTTCTAAGGTTTGCAACCCTCGCCGAGTGTCCGGTTTCACTATGGGCTTTGCTGTGGAACGGAGAAGGGGAGAGAGAAGGAGGGTGAGGAGGGAGAACTCAAATTCATTACGGGCTCATAAAGTCCCAAATGAGAAAAGCGCCCCGTTTCGCAGCCGAGTCGGAGAAGGGCTGGCGGGGAGAGTGCGTTAGGCAGGTTTCGCCCTGGCCCCAAGTGACACGCAGCAGGCTTTAAAAGCGAGGACATGGGAAGCCAGTGAGGGGAGTGGGGTGAAAGGGGTGAATCCCAGAAGCAAACATCAAGCGGAGAGCAACTTTGGGGCACTTCGAGTACTTTTAAGTCCTGGCAATCACGACCACCTTGTCCTTGAGGCTTTCTGGGCAAGGAGGCCAAGTGAAGGGTTAGGGGTTCACCTCCATTAAAAAGTCAAGGAAATCAGCTGTCCCCTAGCCTCTTCCCACATGCATCCCAATCGGGTCATCCTCCCCTCCATTCCAAACGGGGACAGTAAGTCTGACCATCCCGAACACGGTTTACTTGCACGAGGCTCCTCAGGGATCAGCCCTGACTGACTGCGGGTCTCTGGCCCGCCAGCAGCGCTCCCGGCGCCCCTCGGGGCGGCTAGGCGGCGACGCCTTGCGAGTGAGCCCATTCGGCAGATGGGGCAAAGCGAGGCTCGCAGCGCGCCCGCTGCCTCCGCGCAGCCGGCGGGCGGCTCCCGCACAGACACGGCCGCAAGCCCCGGACCCGCCCGCCCCCCGCGCCCAGGCACCCGCGCCCCTGGGGCCGCGGGGACGGTGTAGCGCCCGCCCGGGCGCCCTCGCCTACCTGTGATCACCGCCGGAGACCTCTGGCCCCCCTCCGCTCGCAGCCACACTTGCAGCGTGAACGCGTCCCGGGGCAGCTCGAGGTCGGCCCGGAGGCGCAGCTGCTCGCCTCGCCCGCTGAAATAGAGCGCCCGGCTCGGCGGGCTCGGCTCCTCGGCGGCGCCCCTCGCCTCCCGCTGCTGCCGCCGCCGGGGGACGCGCACGGCTTCCCAGGCACCGCCCGGCGGCGGCGGCGGCGGCGGCGGCGGCGAGGCGCGGCGGCCGCGGGCCGCCCGGGTGGCGCAGGTGGCCGGGCCGGCGGCGGGGCGCGGGGGGCGGCCGGCCCGCGGGTCTCTCCGGGCCCGGCGGGGGCGCTCGGCCAGCCCGCAGCCCAGCGCGGCGCTCAGCAGCCCCAGGCGCAGCACCCAACTCCAGAGCCGCATGTCCGACGGTCCCCCCCGCCCCCCCTTCGCCCCTGCACCGCCGCCCGGAGCTGCCAGCTTTGGGAGCCTCGGCGCCTCGACTTTCTTCGCTTCTTCACCCTTCTTGGGCGAGCCCCCCCTTCCACTTGCTTTTTTCTTTTCTTTCTCGCTTCCCTCCTCAAGGTGTGCGCTCCACTTCCCCCACCTTTGAAAAATACAGCCTAACTCCTCCTGGTTGGCAATTAATTTCTCTCCCCGCTCCTTTATCTGCCTTATTTCCCCCCTTTAACAGCTGGTTGCCTTCCTCCTTGTTTTATTTCATTTTATTTTATATGATTTCTCGCTCTTAAAAAAAAAAAGCGCCTCTAAGACACTGATCCGCTGAATTCCCTCCCCCCAAAAAGATGCTCTAATTTATTTATTTTTTGCGTCCTTTATAACACAAGCCACAGCCCCCTTCTCCCCCCCTCCCCGGTCCCCCCTCCCCTCCCTCCCTCTTCACAAAATGAAAGGAAAGAGGGGGGAAAAATCCCTCAGAAGATGAGTAAACAAGCGTATGCTAATCTGCTCCCGAGCGCTCCACCTTCCCAATTGAATGAGTCCCTGTTAAAACTGCGGGGATCATGACTAATCAATCGGTTTGGAGAGGCCGAGCTACCCAGCCTTCCTCCACTTTGCCGTTTGCCTCCTTCGCTCCTTCGCTCCTGCTTCTCCACCCCCTATTTTTTTTTTTTAAGAAGACAATCTTAAAGTAACAATTTAATGAAATTCTGTACACACCCCCTTACGGTCCTCCCAGCTCTCCTCATTCCTGCTCAAAACACACATTCCTGTTCTTGTTTTGTTGCTTGTTTTTTCCCCCCTCCTTCAACCCCCTCTCCCTTTATTATATTTATTTGTTTGTTTGTTTGCTTATTTATTTAAGGAGGAAAATCTCTCAGGATCGAGTTTGCACTTTGCTGGTAAACCTCATCCTTCTCTATAGCAGAGAAAGAGTCTTGAAACTTGATTCTCCCATTTTTTGGTAATGCCTCTTTCTCACCCTCTCTCCTCTCTCCCCTTCTCTCTCTCCACTCCCTTTCTCTCCCTCTTCCTCTCTCCTCCTCTCCCTTCTCCTCTGCCTTCCTGATCCTTCTCTTCGTTTCTCCTTTTCCCTCTTGGAAGTGCCTTGAAGTTATGCAGTGATGGACTTGCCCCCGTCTACCCCGAGCCCCGGGTGCTGCTGGCTTCAGCTAGTCCACACGGTCTCCAAGGTCCTCACAGAATCCTCCGAAGCAACCAGAGGAAAGGCATTTTCTGAGGCATTTGCCTTTCTGAAGCTATAGGCTCAGCACAACTAGGTCTCTGAATATTCCTGAATATTCTTAAAAATATTCTATTGGTTGTTAGAAATTATTTTAGTTGCATATAACAGAAAAATAAGAAAGCGCCCTTTTTTTTTTTCAACCTAAGAAATTCAGGTCCTCTGACGTTATTTAAGTCACAGGTAAGGGTCTAACCATTTGCTACTTTGTATATCTTTTTGAAGTGGGACATATATGTAATACATTTTTGTTCATTTTTTCCCCCTCTTTACAGAACTCAAAAGCTCCCCCTTATGGCAAAACAGTTTTTCTTTTCCTCCAAATGTTTTAATAAACCAAAAGGAGTTAGCAGTGGTGGAGTACAAACTATTGGCTACCAGTCTGTTCATATAATGGAGTGATAAAGATACGCTGTGTGAGGTTTGCATGTGGCTAGCGGGCTAGAAGGCTGAGGTGAGATTAACTCCCTTAATGTGTGTCTTTCCTTCTCATGTGCTCCTGTCCTCAGGGCTGCTCCAGATCCTTCCTGAGCCCTAGGATCATTCCTGCACGCTTCAGGGAGAGTGAACACTAGTGGAGAATATGTGTTGGTGAAATTATGCAGATTTGTAGAATGAGCAAATGACTCAGACATCCCCTCTATAAAACCAGAATGTGGTATGCAGGGATAATGGCACCATTCTGAAAATAGAAGGTTCCAGATTCAGAACTTGGTGTGAGAAGAACTTGCCATATAAGTCTTAGGCCAAGAATGTTTGAACTCAGTTTCTCCAGATATGAAATGAAAATGCTGTTACATCCTAAATGTGGTGCCAGGGATTGGCTGAAAGAAGAGGCTCTTTGGCATACAATGTCATGGATAAGGAATATGCCTAAGCAAATCTTCCACTTTCTGCAACTCCAAGTCATCTGTAAAAGTCATAAGGTTGGCATTCAATAAAATAATTTAAAAGACCTCTGTTGAACTACCTAAATTATATCTCACAGAGTCCCCTTCTTTCCCCATTAGAGGTTGGAACATGACTACTAATTCACTTCAATTGTGGCAGTTAGGCATTTGGAAACTGTGTATCTTCCAGGGCCTTCTAAGTCATTTATTCAATAGTTTTGAATATTCCTAGACATTTGGGACTTTGTCAACTCTCCCACGAAGAGTCAGGATACGAGAGTTACAATTCTAAGTCCACACTCACTCCTACACGAATCAATGCTCTGCCCTAAGGGAGTCCCTTTATTTACTTCACTAACCCTCTTCTTCCTTCCCTTTACAATGAGAATATCTGTATCACGAATTCATACTCAGGACAAAATATATACTGGAGCATAACACTTTATAAATTATAAAAATGATATACAAATACCATTTATTCTACTGTTGTTTTCCAGTACTAAGTGTCCCTTAGGTTCGTAAAAAAAAAAAGTCCAAGAGGCCAAATTTTTCGTGTCTCTTCTGTAGTGGACACAAAGAGACAAGGACAGAGAGATCTAAGTCTCTGCTCCTTCAGCTTCTTGACTTCAGTCCCAAAATGCACTGGGAGCAATTGGCAAAGCCTTTCATTGGTCTTTTCACTGAACGTACATTTATTATTTTATCCCCCCTCTCCTCCCTGTCTTGGAGCCACTCTTAGTTTTATACATGTATGTACATACATATGTATATGTGTATGCATGTGTTTTTTAATTGAGTGAACAGGACGGTGTGAATTTTAACCTTTGGTTCATTAGCCACCCTAATCATTGGCCAATGTCTGACATTCTTATGTATTTATATGTAGTAAATAATACACCATATGCTGTATCCATCTTTCACTTCACCCCTTGATCCTTCATGGATTTGTCCCTTCTCCTTTCATCATTTATAATCAAAGAGGAATAATCTGAGAGTTAGGAGACTCAGGTCCTAATTCTGACCTATGTGGGATCTTTGACCTCCATTTGGTCTTATGTGAAATGAAAAGAGAGGAGTCAAAGATTCCTCAGATCACTTCCAAATCTGAAGTGTAGTAGAGCCCCTAGTTATTGGAGTATGGCAATATCCCATCTAATCACCCCCATATTTGGTCCATTCCCTCCCACCTCCCATCCAAGGAGTTCCTTGTTTCTGGGGATTTCTGTCCTAAAAACTACTTTTTAGAACAAAAATACTTCTGTCCTTTTACTCTTCAGATGTACTCTGTCATTATTCATTATACTTGGTAATAACTAAAAGCAAGGCATTTTTCCAGGGAAGGTATCAGGTCTACTAGAAGTTAGGGGAGCAATATCTAAGTGGATCCCTGAAGTTCCAGAGGGGTTTGCAGGACTGACAATGGTGCCGAGGCCACACTGCAGAGGCATCATGCCCTGGGTTTCTCAGTGACCTTATTGTGGAGCTGTCCTGAGGACAGTGTGCAACATGACATGTAGCGGGTGCTCAATAAATGGGAGCCCTCTCTCCCTTCCCAGGGATCTAAATGTTACAGCTCCTCAGGCTTTTGTCGGCTTTCATCTAGAGCTCCAGCCCCATCTACTTCTTACTCCAATCCAGAAGGATTACTCTCATCTCAGAATTCTTAGGCAAGCATTGTCTGTCTGGTAGAATCTGGAACTGGATTAGATAGGATCTTGAATTGTTTTTGGTGTCCTGTTTATGTCTTTCCTCCAAGATTAAAGAACCCTTCTAGGGCAAGGATCTTCAAGGGCTGGTTGCTTTGCCACACCCCTCCCCCTCCAGGCTGATGGGCTCCCTCCTCTGGGCTGTCATAGAACTTCCTCTGAATTTCTCTGGGCACACCCCCAAAGCCAACTACACACTTAATGACCTACCTGCTTGTCTCCTCTCTCCATGTGCTACAGAAGCTCTGCTGCATTCATACTTGAGTTTCACCAAATGCTTAGACCAGTGCTTTAGACACAGCTGCCTGCTCAGAACAATTAAATTTAGTTATATATTTATATGTATTATAGATAAAGAGAGAAAGAGCGAAGGGGAGGGGAGGAGAAGGAAAGAGATCTGTAAATCTATGTAGATATATAGATATATGTATATACTTGTTTTCTTCTTATGCTTCATTTGTTTTTCATGTGATGCCAGTATGTTCAGTGCTATGAACATGTCAGGTTCTTGATAAATACAAACTGTTTTCATTTTGTCAGCCTCCTCTTTCCCAGATGAGGTATCTGTGGTCAACCAGACAATACCGTGAAGTTTGCTGGCTGCCTAAGTGAGGGTCACTAGAAAAAAAATGTAGATTTAGGAATAGCAGACATTGGACTCAAATCCTGTCTTTAAGAAATAACAATTCTAACACCAGCTTACATACTGAGTATGCACTATGTTCCGAGCCATATTTAAATTCTTTTTCATAGGAAAGATCCCATCTAATCTTCATAGCCAGTCTACAGAGCAGGTCCAACAGACACCCCACTTTGTAGGAGAACAAAAAAGAGCAAACCTAAATCAGAGAGAGCCCATCCCATCTGGATCTAGCACTCTGTGTTCTAGCTCCACAGGCTAGTAAGAATCACTTAACCTTTTGAATCTCGTTTTTCATTTGTATGGATTTCATGGGGTTATCTGAGAGATTAAGAGAGATGATGGATATCGTGTTGCACAGTGATAGTACCTACGTCCATGGATGTTAGAGAAACATTAGCTTCTTTTCTTTCTTCGCAACAGCCATTTGATTACATTAATTTAACATACATACTGGCATTGACAATTGCAAGAGTCATGCCAGCAGTAATGACACCTTGCCCACGTTGAGT